ACTGTGAAGTGTAGTGAGTGTGGGCAGGCCAGGCACATCTACCAGCCTGGCCTTCTACTGCAGAGGATTCCATAGGCATTTCTGAGCTCTAATTACGGAGCAGAAAGAAAATGAGGCACTTTCAAATAATCTTCTCACTTAGTTTCTTTGAGGCTACACTTTGAAGACCATCCTCTCATCCCTTTCCTTCTAGGAGAATAGATGTGGACTATGTGCTGAACATCTAATTTAGACAAGACAGGTAGGTGGGAACAGTATGCTTTTCCATTGCCAAAATCAAGTGGTCTATGAAGCATAATGACATTGGGGTACTGTAGAACTATAACAGCTATCAACAGAGCTCCCAAATTTCAATATTGGATGGTATCTTAGAACTCACCTAGTCCAACCCTTTCATTCTACGGATGATGAAACTCAAATTCAGAAAGGTTAAATACTTTGTCAAGGTTATACAGTTGGTAAGAGACAGAATCAGACTACAAAGAGGCTTCTTTTTTCTTTTTTCTTTTTTGCCACTTTTGAGTGTTCCTTTATTATAAGAATGCCAATAGATACTAAGTTAGATATGTAAAATCTATGGCAAAAGTAAAAGAATTTCAGAAAAAGCTTTAGCTGGACGCTTAAAATTTTCAGGTAAAAAAGAGGGCAGTGTGTTGACTTTCTTGAAAGAATGTCACAAATTACTAGGCAGGAGAAGCCTATGGATGCACTTAGGGAAATAAATACTTCTTTTGTTCTTCAGGCAATTGACTGGCACTCTCCCTAAGGGACTAGGAACTAGGCTTAAGGAGACTTAACAAATATAAAGGGAAAAAACTTTCATATTTCAAGCTGCAGCTCAATTATCTAAATGAATAAAGATACATGCCATGTAAGAGGCATGTGCATGTCTCCGTGTGTGTGTGTTCTATGTATCTCTGTGTGTGTCTGTGCACACCTGTGTTTGTGTGTATGTCACTGTGTGCTCATGTGTGTTTATGCACACACGTCTGTGTATTACTGTATGTGTGCACATGTGTTCTACATGTGTGTTCATGTGTGTGTGTGTGTGTGTGTGTGCATATTCAAGCCCCAGGCACAGCAAGTGAGTGCCCTCTTCACAGTGTAGAGAATCCTGGGCTGATCTGTACCCCAGATTATTAAATTTGTTTGATTTTCTCCTCTTATTCTGTCTCATGTCAATTTAATTCTTAGGCCAGTCAGAAGAACCTAGAGGGCAGAGGAATATTTCTTCCTCCCCTACACTCTCTTCCCTGACACATCTGTTTCTCCCTTGTATCCCAGCTGGTACAGGATTTCTTAAAGCCAACCCTCCATTCTGCCCTGGTGGAGACACTAGGAAGAAGTATGCATTGGGGGAAATTCAAACTGGACTTATGGTGAATGCTAGCTTCACTTGGAGGTGCATCTGATGACACATCTTAAAAGCACTGGATGCTATCAGACTTGCCTTACAAGTTTCTGATAGCCACTTAACTGCGGCATGCCACTGCTCCTGGTATTCCCCCCAGGAAATGATAGGAGGAGAACCGCTGGGACATGACTGTTCAATCCCTTCCTAATCTCTGGAGTCTCCTAAGTCCTTTAACTCTTCAAACATTGAACCAAAGAACTTGGTTCACAGAAACATTACGGTGATAGGAGGCAGAGGAACTGAGCTATTCAGAAAAAGCAGGGGAGCAAAGGGCTGCCAGGGGGTTACCCTGAAACTAGTTTAAATATAGTCTGTGAGAAACAGAAGCAAAATCCTATTTACAAAATTATTATTTTTGTTTCGCAAGATATATAGACTCAATTTTGCACAGAAAATTGTATAGGAAAAAACCTCTCAGTAGAGCCATTTAAAAGCAATTTAATGTTTTTAATAAGGCAAATTGTTCTGATTCTCAACTATTTAGCCATGAAATCTTAAAATCCAATGAAAGTCTGTTTTCAATAAATGCTGCTTTACAAATTTTATTGTCCACTTAACAACCTAAGAACATTAACATTCTTCAGACACTCAAATTTAATCATGATGACAATTATTGAGCTTTCTAACTGCCCTTCATGTAACATGTAATTTAGTGTGTATAAAATATGGGTTTGCTTTTCTGATATTTTGTCCCAAAATTGTAAATGGGCTCAATTTACCCAGCAGCCTGCAAATTTCTAAGCAATTTTGTCTTATTCCCAAACAGTCATTTAGCAACATAAAACACAATATACTGCATGACAAATAAGAATACTTGAGAGGTTTTGTATTTCATTCACTAATGGTTCTTCAAAGGATTTCGGCAGGAGTTAGTCCCATCACCAGAGCGCTCAAACCATGGCAGAGGAGAGGTGACAAGGCCAGTGTCCCTCAATGAACCAGAAGTGGGGAGCAATTTTCCTCACTATGAAATTTCTCTCTTAAGGGCAGTGGACAGTACATTTGGACTAGTATTCGGTAGCTCCAGGCTCTCAGCTACATTCCAAAGCCATGTTGCCTGGCTGAGGCTCAGATTCTTCCTCTAGGAGGTAAGGATGATCATAATATCTACCTCATGGGATTTTGAGGGGGTTTAATTCAACATAATATATGAAAGTGTTTGCAAACCCCAAATCTTCCTCTTTAAAGTAAGGAAGTATTAGCATCTTTATAGTTGTCTCTCTGTATACCTATTCTGACCAGGATCAAATACACAACTTCGGCCTTGTTTGCAGCATAATCTCTCTCACTGTTTAAAACCACCCTTTTCCATTGTCATAGACTGGTCATAAAATGTTTATCCCGGTCCCTGAGAGTTAAAAAAATGTGTGAATGAACCAACACAAAACCAGTCCACTGCTAGAAAAGCGAATTCGTCATTGATGTGTCTACTGATAGTGTCTTCTTGGCCACTGTCCAATGCAGCCTCTACACACACTTCCTGTCTCCCCTCACAGTTTGTTATTTACCATGACAAGCTTACCATCATACAGACATGTTATTTTACTTATTTGCAGTCTCCTCCATTAGAATGTAAGCTCTACTCGGCAGGAATATTTTTCTGTTTCATTCACTGTTATATCCCTCAAACCAAGAACAATGATTGACATACAGAAAAATGAATGAACGATGTCCAGCACATGACCATTATACAAATGCTCATGTATCTGCAGCCAAAGAAAGCCTGGAAACTATTAGGAATGGTTCATTAAGGCTTATGTTGCTTTTAATGTTTCAATTCTCATATGTCAAAGCCCATAAAACAATTTGGTTATTTTTAACGTTTTCTTTTTTTTTAATTAATTATTTATTTATTTCTTCCCCCAAAGCCCCAGTAGATAGTTGTATGTCATAGATGCACATCCTTCTAGTTGTTGTACATGGGATGTGGCCTCAGCATGGCCAGAGAAGCGGTGCACTTAACTGCTAAGCCACGGGGCCGGCCCTAATGTTTTCTACTATTGGCCTTGTCAACAGTTTCTTATTCAAGCTATCTTTGTATTTTTAGTTTTCCTCTCTGAGAAGAGGGAGTATAGCTCCTACATCAGATACTAATTGTGTATTTATAGAAAAACATAAGCCATAATGAGGGAGTGTTATACACTGAATGTTTGTGCCCTCTCCAAATTCATGTTGAAACCTAATCCCCAATATGATAGTATTTGGAGGTGGGGCCTTTGGAAGGAGCTTTGCCTTCATGGTCACATAAACAAGACCTTGAAGGGCAATCTTGTCCCTTCTCCTATGCGAGGATGCAGAGAGAAGACAGCCATTTTTTATGAACCAGAAAGTAGGCTCTTACCAAACACCAAATCTGCTGGTGCCTTGATCTTGACATTCCCAGCCTCCAGAACCATGAGAAATAAATTTCTGTTGTTTATAAGCCACCCCGTCTATGGTATTTTGTAATGGCAGCCCAAAGAGACTAAGCAGGGAGTTTTTCCCTCCCCCCATTAGAACTTACGTGTAAATTCCAAGTCTACTCTTCTAAGCAATCACCCACCATTTAATGTTCGTAAATTTCCATTGTATACTCAATTGCCAGAAACCAAAGTGTGATTATAAACAGCACTAATAATAAACAGGCACAAAAATTGTTACCACCCTCTTCCCACAGCACTTGGGAGATCTGTCAAATTATTCTGTGGCAGATTGGAAAGAGGGGGTTGTGTTAGAAGTCATGGCCCGACTACTAGTGACGCTGTTTCCATGTTTTCCAGTGGGAATCACTAGTTAGAAAACTCTAGCTTTGTTCATTAGCTGTAACAGCAGAAGACGAGCCTGTGGAGATCTTTAAAAGGAAAGCACCAGCGGAGATGGAGCAGCAGAACTGGAAAAAAAAATCCCATGATAGTGTTGCTTTCATAACTCTGTGGGAGGGACTTTCCTTTATCTTTATACAATCACACAGACAGTGGACGAGGTTTGACAATGCAAGAAAGGGACACTTCTTTCTGAATTTAATTCTCTCCAGTTTCTAGCTCCTCCTGTTTGAAAAACACTTCATTTCGTAGGATGTTCCTAAATAAAACTCTGTGCTTTGCTCGCACAGGAAGAAACAGAATGTGATTCTACTTTCACTTTCAGAGCCAGTGCAAACACTTATTTGTTAGACTTTATTGAAGAGAGTGTAAAATGATGCAGATGGTAGTGGTGAAGTGTCTTAATGTCATCCTGCCCGGCCTATGATTTTGCTGTTTCCTTTGTGACCTTCACTTGGCCACTTCTACTTTCAGAGAATTTTCCAGACAAAGCCTGGTGATTGGCTATCCACGAGCTAGAGACACAAAAGGCTTTCAACTTATCTTGTCTATTTCCAGAAAGAAAGACACAATGTAGATGGAGAAGAATGTCATGTTTGAAGACATTTGCTTCATCTGGAAAGTCTAAACTAGTCTCCAAAAGGTGCATGTATGCTACAAATACATTTATTTCTCTTACATCATGTAAGTTCTTTGGTGCTTTGACACAGAACAAGTGGTCACAGTGGGAAAAGTAAGCTCGCTTGGGCCATAATAATTTAGGACATGCAGAGAAAGGCACTCACCAGCACTGACAGTGATAGCTTCAATGAACTGCTCTCTCCAGCTGTTTGTCCCAACCACAAGGGCTAGGTTTGTCTTCTTAATAAGTTTATCCACCGTACTCTAGAAGGTTGAAAAGAATAAGATAATAACTGCTAGGTTGGTTAAGGCCTCAGGAAATCTAAGACCTTGCTGATTTTGAAACCCCAAAGTTACATAAAGGGTAGCAGATGTTAGGCTCAGAACAACAGTACTGACATCAAACACTGTTATGATTATGCAAACAAGCATAGTCCTTACTTGGAAACATTCTGAAATGGAAACTTCCTCTTCATAGCAAATACAAGCCTCCTTCACTGCCTAATGGCCAATGAAGAACGGCCTCAGTGTTTAGAACAGCAGATGTTGCAAAAGCCCATCACTTCCCCTTGAATGCCTTATGAACTTGTTTCTCTACTGGCTTCATCTATAGCGTGTTGTCTGCAACTGAATTAATATATGCCCTGCTCAGCATTACATACCTGTGAATAACCAGAAATGGCAGCTAGATTACGGAACTAAAAACTGTTACTATTGGACTTTTGTTGATCAATGAAACGCAGCCAGACAGCAAAGCCTCACAATTGCTGCTGCATGATCATCAATAAATCAATTTTTCTTTGGCTACTGATTTTATCTGCCTGGTGGCTGTTAGAGAATTCATTCTCACCCTACTCCTGTTGCAAATAAGAAAAGACAAGACAAGAAAAAGTCAGTTTGTAAGTTTAGGGCACACTGCAATTTACCATGCACTGAATTTCCCTTTACTTTGCCAGCACTGAGCCTCTTATTTTTATTTTTCTTTAGACCTTTTTTTAAGCACTTGGTTTTGTACAATCAGCACTCTCTAGCTTTCTACATGTCAGTTAATGTAACAACAGGGGCAGCCAAGCATTCACAAGAATACTAAGTAAGCAGATGCATCCAAAGCGCTACCACAAACCATAGGCACTACAGGGAGAAGGGTCACTTCCAGGACATGAGGCTACTCTTCCTAAAGAAACCACCACATCAACTAGTCTACCACACATCCACACCTACTGTCAGAGCATCCTCGAATTCCCACTAATCGCAAAGGGGCAGAAAACACGTATTATTTGTCTTAGGTCAAAATCTGCACAGGTTTAATGCAGTGTACCTGAATTGACTATGGTTTGAGAGAGGGAAAAGGTTATCAGCTAAATGGGAGTAAGGAAAATGTGATCTGAGGGGCCTGTGCAGAAGGCCAAAGCTAAATCAGAATGTCAAGTGTGAGTTCAACAAGAGTCATTTGACTTGACTTGAAACATTGAGATGATAATAAACATGAAAGGGCCCATCTCCAACTGGCCCACTCTGTATTTTCAAAACCATGCTCTGCTAGATTGATTGTCCTTAGGGTGGTGACCTTTCAGCCCCTAGCTTTGTGTCTAGAACTGCTAGTGCCCCTGATAACAGCTGTAACAGTCACTGCTCTCGGTCACTGTAATTGAAGCACATGACAAGCATCTGTCGTTTCTCTCTTGAATCAGCCACATCTCATCAAGCACTCTGAGTGTTTTGGCTGACACCAATTCAAAGTTCTGTCTAGAATGTCACAAGAAATGACCTTGATTTCTCCTAAATGCAATGGAAACTTGGGGCAGGTCTCTCCAAAGGAACACCTCTTTGTTCTGAAGCCAAGGCAAAGAATCCCATCACCTGGGAGATAAACAGTTGAACAGATAAACAGCTGTAAGAGTTGAATACAAAATTTACTTAAGAAATATCTCTAAAGAACAAAGTTTTAAGATAAACTAAACTTAAAATCTATATTTATGTTACACCCAGGGTAGACTGTAAACTCTAGCTCATGTTAATCTTGGGAGACGATGGGATAGCCTGGGTTCTTTCTAGGACTCAATTTCTGTGTTACCTCCCTTGACCTACAGGAGGAGGGAGAGTGAATAAAATGAATTTGAAGTTCAGACACCTGAACTTGGACATTGCCATCTACACTTACCTGGAAGTTTCCTAAATGCCAGTGATCAGCTCTTCACTGCACTAGACTTATAAGCGATTGTTATAACCTCACCCTCAGCAATGGGTGTTAGGAAAGCCAAGCCCTTAGTCACAACAGAGTAAACAAGAACCCAGTGGGCAAAGCAGAGTGGGACATGGTGAGGTGTCACCCAGATTTGGGTCATTAATGCAGTTCTGAGAGCTTTGAACAAGTTCCTTAAAATAGCTATGGTCTAGAAAAATAAATTTTTAAAAGAATAATATAATATCAAAATTTCTACCTAAGGGCACTTCGGAAACATGACCCCAAGGTGTCCTTTAGTGTTAACAGTAATTGTACTGATGAACTTTGAGGAGGTGGGAAGAAATAGTGTACGGAAGCTATTCTAGGAAGATAAGTACTCCAAACAAATGGACTTATGTAAAGACACGTGGGGGACTGTCAAATGCTCAGATCATTGCAGACGTTACTAGAGAGAGATTTAGACCCAAGAAAGCTTTGCTGCCTAGAAGACTGTGCCCTGCCGTACCCAACCCAATGCTTCCTACAGGAAGTTACTGTGATAGCTCCTCCTAGTCATGGGTACATGGAAGGGGAAGGTTAGGGGTTGTCCCATAAGAGAGAGAACACACAGCTATTCCCCATGAGAGCCCCAGGAGGGGTAGGGGGCAAGCTTATACAGGGATGCCAAGCTGTAGAATCTCTGACACAGCAAGTGGCACCACGCCCTCTGATTCCAGTGAAAAGAGGATGCATGAGGAGGAGTGAGGTTGGACATATCTGGACAGATTGGTCCATAGAAATGGACAGTCTGACATATCTGTACCTCTGGAACACAGGGAACTTGTGCGTGTACCAGTTACATGTGTGCAGCGAGCCAGGTTCCAGATCAAACAACGGGTGGGCTCTGATGATTGCAGTCTGCCTAGAAAGCACTGATCCCAGGGTTTACCTCTGCTCTTTCTTTCTATGGGAATAAGTGAAAGGAAGAGTTAACAGATAGACTCATAGTAGCCTGAAGGGGAAAACTTAATTGCTTTTTTATCTTTTAAAAATTACACCTCAACTGCAAATACGTTTTTCTTTCCACCTATCTCCTATCAGGCACCTCAATTTATGAACTAAATTAAAAAAATTAATTAATGGGCCTAGCTAAAGGAAAAGAGGCCACTACCATGAGAAATCCAGATAAAATATTGAGGCTTCTCAATTGGTAGCCTGATTCTTCCCTTCAGAATCCTCTTTCTGGTTTTCCAAACAAGAGCAGAGTCTGCTTTTGAAAAATAACTGGGGGAAATACTTCTGTGCTCTGGGTTTGTAGTTCTAGAAAGCCAGAGAAAGGATGCTCCTTTTCATGTCCCACTGCAGAACTAAGGTGGCTCTACCGGGGTCTTCTCAGATGTTAGGACTACATGAGTGAGATAGGATGGGAGGTGGGGTAGGGGCAGAGAGCGCAGCTAAGAATGGATAAAGAAGTTTCACTTCCAAGTCCTAAGCTCACCCTAAGGCCCATTTGTTTAACTTCTGAAAAACGACTTTCATTATCTAGAAAATTGGAAATCCAATTTTATCAGCCCAATTATAAACTCTCTGGTTCCAGGCACTATACCTTCAGTACATTGACTGTGCTAAAATGTCCTAGGATCTTAAGAGGATGACTAAACATAAATGAGAACTTGTCAATGGGATGTACCAGAGGAAGAGCTTACCATCCCCCCTCCAAAACAAAAGCCTCCTAATTTTCAGGAATGGGAATATTTTGCTTCTAATAGCTTTATTAGCTTTTTCAAATAGAGCTTGGTTTCTTCCACACATGACAATTGCTTGGAATCCACCTTTACTTCTTCCTTGCTATCCTGTCAGACAAAGCCCTCCCTTGGGGGCACGTCTACCCTGTGCAGTGACGGATGCCGCCCACCGGATCCTGGTTCTAATGTTGTTTAGTTTGCAGGACCTCTTGGTTCCCTACTAACGCTCTAATTCCAATTCTCCTCTTGAGGTCTCTCAATTAACAAGCCAGTTGCTGAAATTACATCTGCCTCTCTTTCCAGATGGATCTTACAGCGTAGGCCAATGCTATGAACAGTCTTGGTCCTGAGATGGGCCTGGCCTCCCTGGTAGGCAGTGTTGGTGAGCATACCTTGAATTCATAGGATTCTTCAATGATCACTTCCAGCTTGCTGTGTTCTCCCAGAATGGGGCGCCCCATTTCTGCAATGCGCCTCTCCTCTTCCTCTTTGCTGGTCAGCGGCTGCTTGTCATCACATTCCTCTGTGGAAGGGAAGGGCAAGAAAGTGAGCAGTGGGCTCAACTTTATTTGAAAATCCCTGGATCCTGCTACAAGAAAACCAAGAAGGAAGGAAGCCCTAATGACCCACTAAAAATCTCTTGGGTGAGATTATAATGCTGGAGGAGACGCTTGGCGAATCAGGCAGCACATCACTGTGACAGCAAGTGATTATAATGTCCCACAACCTAAGCACACACCAAAGTGCAGATCAGGAAAAGCAACTTAAAGGCACATCACTGGGAAAGACTCTGCCTGCGCATTGTCTATGTTGAGGGAATCACCCAGCTGTCCCCTGTGACGCCGACTCATCTGGCTGTTTGTACACATTCCTTTAGCACGTGACCAAAAGGAAACACAATTAAAAGTACTAGACTCAAGGGACGGAGGAATCTGGCCTCCTCCTCCCCACTTCCTAGAGGCAACAGAAAATGCCCCAGGACCAAAGAAATGATAAAGGGAAATACTGATTTTAGCATCTCACTTGCCAAGAACCCTGCTGCAAGTTAAAAAGCAAAACATCCATTCCATGTTCCAGTAAGATGCCTGGGCTCCAGGGCTTCCTCTCTCTGGTGCAAAGCTGAGATGTGTTAGGAAGACCTTGACCATGTTAATCTTAAAGTAAACAGGGAGGGCGAGGGTGAGGCCCTTGGGGAGTTAGTACTACTCACCATGTGAGCATGATTATTTCCAGAACCACCATGTTGCTTACACTCCAGAGGAGGCTACTGGGTACTGAGAAAATGTTAATGGACTTGAGAATCCATTAATGAGGGGAGGCTCACAGTTGGCTCCTCTCTGCGTGAAGGCCATTAGGATAAATCCCAGACTGAAAAGTTCATGTGCACGTGAAGGACAAACACTACTCCTGTAATCACTCAGCCCCCTTATCCTTCATGCCCAGGATGCTGGAACCGCTCAGGACGCTTCCCCTCACAGTCAAGCTGAATGAACCTCATCTCCAAGGAAATAGAATCGGTGGTGTAGAAAGACCTCAGCCCTGATGCCCTTGCTTCTAGAACTTTCCAGGCAAACTGTCTGCAGCAGGAGTCTGTTGACTGAGGAGACATCAGAAAGGGAGGGACTTATAGCCCAGGCTTCTTGTCTTTTGCATTTAGGCATCAGCCCCCACTCCCTCCAAAGACAGGTGGCTTCCCTCTGCTGAGGGACCCTGCGGTGGTGGCTCCATTTGATGCTCCTGCAAATGTTGCAGAGAACTGGTTTCTAGGCCAGTCGTTCACTGCTAGGACATGGAGCAGATGGGCTAGAGGCACTCTCGAATTTTACAGACCAAGTGTCAAAACCAACTGAAGGGAAAAGCAGAATGTAGCAAATCAATTAATTCCTTAGTATGTATTCAATAGTGTCTTCTTAAAAGGATATTTCAGAATCTGCTTTCCTATCCCCAGTGATTACTGAGCCCCAAAGAAATTAGATGAAGACTAAAAATAATTGATTTTGGACTGGCCAGAAACTGCTGATTGTTAGCAGACGCAAAGGAGAGGTGCAAAGAGATTAATTTTAATTGTAAAAGTGGTAATATTTTTTATAGTAGGCTTGGGAAGTTATGACCTGAGGGAAGGCAAAAGGTTCCAATTGGCATCCTCAAGATTTGTCCTTGAAATTATGTGTGTGTGGTCACTGGGGTGGGCTGAGATATGTGAAGGCCAATTTACCCAGTGCTCAAATCAATCATATTTTTATTCCCACTGCTTTCTGATCCTTGAACCCAGGATCACGTCATTGGTAGTTTTCACAGCAGCAGGTTATATTAGTGTCTTTGTTCAAAACCTTGGCCGAACATGAATGTCTTGGAGACTTACATCAAATAAGAATTATTTTTCCAGAAGAGGAACTATTACAACTTGGATTTTTATTTGAATTGCACGGCCATTGAGGGAGAATATTTACTATGGCCCCCTTTTCTGTAGTTTACTTATAAATAGTAAGCTGCTTTTAATGGGATTCAAAGAAATTTAGGTAGAAAAATAGAGAAATTACAAAAGAAAGTTGATAATGGTGGCACTGTTTAATGCTGCATTTCACAAAAAGAAATTATTTGGAACATGGTATTAAATAAATGGACACAGTAGTAAATGAAATCGAATCACACAATGAGTGAAAAGGCTGTTCCCTTTTTAATCATCCATCAGCCCTTCTGATCAAGAAGAAATAGTTTGGTGCTAGTTTGTAACTAGTTCCTGACATTTGGGTTTCCACCATTTAAGAAGCAGAAAACAATTCTCAGGCATCGAGCATTTGACTGTCTCTAGCTAGAATTTAATAACTTTTTTTCCACTCTAAAATTTTTCTTGCCTTATTTTCTATTTATGACAAATGATACTAGTTTTCCATTTGTGTAAGTGACAAAGTTTTCTTTTAAAAACAAATCTAGTGAAGTAAAAACATGAGGCAATTTCAAAAAATTACATTAAGTAGATAATAGTTAAGTTGGTAGGCAGCCAAAGCCAATATTGTAAAGGAGGTATGAGAATGACCAAAATTTAGGAAATACTGTCTTAGATTTCACACGAACCTAAAGAAATATGACACCTTGTTTCTAGCACTTCCTACACTCTCGCTCCAAACCCGACTTGAATTTAATGCACACTTTTATCCCATTGTCTACCCATCTGGAAAAGCTTTCCTATTTCCATCTAGCTAAATCCTACTTATCTTTCAAAATCCCACCTCTTCTTGGATGAAATATCCCCCAACTGACCTATTTAGGAATGACCATTCTAACCTTAAATTCATTCTTTAATATTCATTGTGTATACTGAACAGGGATACTTCTAATATACTATATTTTTATTTTTAAATTACCTTTATATACAAACATCCAGCACGTAAACTTACTGAGATAGAACAATACGTCTCATTGCTCTTTGAACTGTCCTCACATCCCCCAGAGCCTGTTACAATATATGGTACGTAATAGGTGCTCAATAAATATTTGTTGTGTGACTCCCCAACTCACTGTTGGAAAAGCCTCTTCATTGTTCTATGCATATAAAGGTCATGTGTTCATTTAACACATGTCACTGCCTCCTACAATATGTCAGCACACTGAACCCACTCCCCCGCCTCCCCCTGCCCGCCGCCCCCGGAAAGGGGGTCTGATAGTCTAGTGGTAAGTGAGGCATGTAGATGGGACAACTTCTGATACAGCAAGGTAAGGGCTGAGGGACCACGGTGGGGGACCACGCCTGAGGGAGTCAGGGAAGGCTTCAGGAAAGAGGAGATACTTGAAATTGGCTTGGAGCATGTATCGAAGCTTGCCAGGTGAAGGTGGTGGTGAGAATGGCTGGGAGATGCTAGAGTACGGAGGGGCATTCCAGGCAGAGAGAAGTCAAAGCACAAAGGCGTAGTGTCATGGAAGGGTCAGGGCTATTTTCACTTAATAAATGTCATGAACATATAAGAAATAGTTATACTTGTATGTAACTGAGAGAAGGCAGCTGGATAAATCCTGTTATTGCTCTACAACGATACTGACAAATTATCATTTATGGTCCAGATTTTTGACGCTGGCAAAGAAGAGAGCTGAGTCTATTTTTCAAAAAATGTCCTCTCTTTAGATACTTTTTATTGAGTTGGAAAATTTAACAGCATTTTTTAAAATCATCTATTATGTTTGTTTCGTTTTCACTTTGAGCACTGGATCAAATGCAGTCCATTTTACTATGCTCAAGTCAGTTTCATTTCCTTACTTAGGTAGAGTGATAACCTGCCATGGTTTTAGTTTTGCTCCTCAGACAGAGAAAATTAATTCTCTCTCTCTCTATATATATACACATATATATACAGGTATACTTTCTAAACTCATCATATTTCATTGAGAAGTTGATAATAAATTATATCTCATCATGGTCTTAACCAATCAACACAACTTAAAGATCAAATGCATAATCAATAGCCACCGTTAAAATCAGTATTGACAGGACATAAAACAATCCTGTGACAAAATCACCAGTAGGGAACCTCCCTTCTCCTGAGTAATTGATTTTGCAAATGACAAATAACAAAAGCTAACAGATATCTGGGATCTGGGAGAAGCAGAATTATGAGAAAGCTGCTGTTAACGCTTTCTGGCTCAGGCTGCATTTTGAAGCAGCATCACTGTGAGAGGTGAAGGGCTGAGAGTAGGAATCCCTATTAGAATACAATACATCCCGCATGGAGATCTGTGCCTGAGGAGCTACTGTGGATATTCTTTAATGCATTTGTAATTTTTAATCTTAAAAAACAATGTGCAATTTGGAAAGGGGTACAAGGCCAGTGGTGGGACAATTTGCTCAGGGTTATTTTAATCCTTCACTCAGATCTATGCTGACAAGTGTGACAGCAGAGATCTCTTGACAGTTTCCAGCACCTGGCTGGCTTCTCTGATTAGAGCCTAAGGAGATTGGTACTTTTATTTCCATGAGGAATATTCTAGAACAACTCTGAAGTCAGGGCTGGGTATCATGATTATGTATGTGATGTGAGGATGAAGAAAGTCATACTGGGGCAGGCAGAAGTGTTTCTACCACCATGGCCAGTGAGGGGTGATGGTATTACTGAAGAGGGATATCCCTGTCCGCATCCAGAGACTTAGACCAAGGAGATGCTGCCTGGGCTCTACACCTATAGTAGATCTGGGATAGCTATGTATCCTCTAGTCCCTTGTCAGTGTTCCCCTCTGGAGAAACCCCACAGATGTATGATCATCTGTGCATACATGGCTAGCATCATGTTGTCTAGGGCAGGAAACGCAGGCTCTGGAAGGAAATAGTTTGCTTTTAAAGAAACTTCATTATACTTGGAACAAAAGACCCATTTTGAGAAGTGAGATTTGCAAGAAATCTGGAATATATTGAAACTTGAGAGGGAGAGGCCATCGGGATCAATCCTCTCAGTAGGTCCATGCTGCTCCCTCTACCATGCCTCCTGTCCTGAGCTGATGTGATTGTGTTTTGTTGCTGATCCACCATACTCCCAGCTGCAGAGAAGCCACCACGTTATTTAGCAATGCTTTAGAGGAGACAGGGGCTAAATTGTGTCACTTTAATGTCTAAAGACCTAAAGAACACTTGAAGGCAGTTAAGCTCAGGTTAATTAAACTATGGTTCTCGAGGACCATGATGAAATGAGTACCTGCAATGGTGATTACAGTAGAGGGAATCGGATGTTCTCTAGCATGAACTTTCCTGAAGACAGGCTGGCCTAGCAAAAGGGCAGGCAGAAAATCAGCAGAATGGATTGCATTGCTTTGCCAAGAGAACTCTGTGGAATTAGTAAATGAAACATCACACCCAGATGCACACATCACAAGCAATGTTAGTTTGGGGATTGAGTGGTCATAGGTCATTCCTATGCAGGTCGCAGAAGTGAGCAGGTAAATGGGGCAAGTATTCTATTAGCCAAACAAGGTGATGTGCATGAACCACACACCCCACAGCAGGAGGTGCAGCCAGATTCCTGCAGGGGTCTGAAATGGAGTATCCATGTCCTTCACATTACTGCTTCCAGAGGCATCATGAAACAACGGAAAGCACTTAGCGTAATGACAGGTAGCCTGGTTTTGAAGCCTATTGGTGCCAATAACATAGCCTTGAGCAGGCCATTTCCCCAGTTTTCCCACATGTAAAATGAGGATAATAGTACCTGCTCTGTCCTCATCGTAGGTTTGTTTGAGGGTCAGTAACATAACATCTGGGAACATGCTTATTTATTTCCTTGGCAGTCTGAATGGGAGAATGTCATATGCACTGGCAGGCTTTGCAAAGGTACGCCATTGCTCACAGCAACTCTTTGGATTACCTAGGCCTCGAGTTTTCATTAAATTCCTGGTTCAATTGACTGCCAGATCCACCTGCTGTTGGCTTCTACCAAGAGCTACCCAGAACTGACCTGGGAATCATGAGATTGGGAGTCGATGCCAACTCTGCCATATGCTTGCCATCTAAACTTGGGCAAGGTATTTCTCTTCTCTGTTTAACTGTGAAAGACAACTGAACTTGGAGGGGACTCGTTCCTCTAACCTATGTACTGGACTGATTAAGGTGTTTTTTAATTGTCAGAATTTTCATAGTTTGGCTTCCTTAAGAAAACCATGTGCCTTTTTAAGTCTATTACATGATAAGCATAATATGATTGGAAGAGTAACTTTTAAAGAGGTATATTGACTGTCATATACTTTTTTTTTTTTTTTAAAGATTTTATTTATTTTATTTTTTTCCCCCCAAAGCCCCAGTGGATAGTTGTATGTCGTAGCTGCACATCCTTCTAGTTGCTGCATGCGGGACTCGGCCTCAGGATGAACGGAGAAGTGGTGCCTCGATGCGCACCCGGGATCCGAACCCGGGCCACCAGCATCGCAGCGCGCGCACTTAACCACCAAGCCACAGGGCCGGCCCATCTGTCATATACTTTTAATCAATTAAAAGTATTGCCTGTTTGGGGAATCAAACATGACTCTCTCTTTTCCAAATTGAGCCAGAATTCTTAATTTTTAAAAAAATATACAAATTAATATGGTCTAGTTCCCCCCTTTTGAAGTCCCTCCCATTTTTCATTTGACTGGAATTCATACTGATGGCATTTATGAGACATAGCTGGGCTTTGGATTGAAAAGGGGTTAAGATGCAGGGAGGAATGAAGGGGTTGGGAGGGAGCAAAAAAAAGTGCTGGGGTTAGAACGGTCATCACATGGCCTTGGACTTAAAGTAAGAGGCCAGGCTCTGAGTCCTGGATGGGTGATTTGGGGTAGATTCATCAATCTCTTTGACTGTTCACTTCCTCTCCTATTATAGTGAGAACAATATAATCTTATTCCACAAGGTTGAGGATTAAATGATATAATGAATAAGAAATGCTTTACAAACTCTCATTAACGAGCTAGAATATAGGGGGCTATCGTGTTACGTGCCTTGATGGTCAAGGGGGAATGAGATCACAGGTCCAAACAAGGGCCTTTCAATGAGGCAAGGTCTAGAAGCAACAGGTAAAAATTTGCAAATTCCAAAAGCACCTCCAGCGCTTACTGATATCTCTGAAATATAGGTATTGGGCTGTAGACCAAATGACTTTTTCAATTTCCATATATCCTGCTTCGAATTTAGATTTTCACACTCAGCTGCACAAGACCACATAAAAGCTGCAGAAAGTCCAAGGGCTAGATTAACTCTCCCTGCTGCTCCTGCATCTCAAAGCCTTGACTTCAAAGCCTCAAATCAACTTCAAAGAAAAGCTCTTTAGGGTTTACTGCTGCTTTTCACTGTGTAAACCTGAGTTTTAGAACTTTTCCCAGGGGCATCTATACACAGTGGATCCCAGACATTCTGGCCTGGTTCAGAAGAAGAAGGTATTGTAAAGTGAGAGGAGCAGGCCATTGTAGAGATTCCCAGAGTTCTGGAACATTCTCTTGTTCTAACTGTATCCATTTCAAGTCTTGGGAAGAGACGGTATCAATACAAAAACTCTTATTTCAGATTAAAGTTTCAGCCATAAGAAACAACTTAATGAAGTACTTGAAATGATAGAAATCTTTGGAAGAAATGCTTCTGTCCTCTTGGATGCAAGACATGTCCAAGGCAGGAAACTTCGGACATGACTGGAGAGATATTCTAGAACTTAATATGAACAATTTCTGAGAAAAGAAAACTAGGATCTCATTACCTAGATACTAAAAAGGAAGATGCTTCATATGATGTGGAAGGAAGGCCCTAAAAGCAAAATCCCGACATATTCAACGATACAGAAAATAAGAAGATATCCAAACACATCAATGCAGTTTAACAAGGTATTCTATAGCCAAAGATTTTCAGTAAAGATCTTATTATCAGGCTGCATGGGGCTGAAGCTGCTGCTAGATACTATACTCTTTCTACAATGGTTGACTTTTTGTTTTTTTAATTACTTCAAGGAAGACATGAAGACTGACTTGCCAAATTTCTACCTTCCTCAAATCTTACAAGGATAACGAACTTACTGGGTGATGGAATCAGAATATTTCCAAGAAGACTTCAATGAGTTAAACTGATGGGATGAGAAAAAGAAGATGAAAGTTTTAAGAATAAATGTAAATTTCTATACTTGGATTCAAAAATAGCATCTTGGGCAGTGCAGAATTGGGGAGACTTGATCTGGGAGTTTCAGATGAATCAGAATTAAGAAATCCTCTACAAGGACTCGTCCTGTTTAGCATTTTTATCCTTTTCAATTTCTATGTCTGAGAATCTATAAATCATTTTGTCATTAAAAGCTGTGTCCGGAGAGAAGCAGTGGAGAGCCACAGCCCATGTGAAATTGCTCGCATGCAGAAAGCTCCACTTTGGACAGAATCATATTAGAATTACTTGATCACGAGTTTACACTAACAGTGGTTTAAGTTAACCCCAACTCCCACCATAGCATTTTCAAAATTAGAAATTTTGGAAATATTTTCTTTCTAAACATTTTTGATCAGCTACCAGATTTCAGAAAAAAAAAAAAATTAGAGTATTGATATCTGCACAATATACTGGAAAATGCCATGGCCATTAGGATGGCCTCTAGAGGCGTCTTCACCCTGCAGCTTCAGACAAATCAAATCTACCATTTGATATTTATCTCCCTCTCTAAATCTGCATAGATGATTCTGAAAGATGAGAACATATTTAGGGTCAAAAGAGAGGATGCTGTAAGCAAATATCTTCCTTCTCTACACAAGAAAATAGCTTTGGAGTTGTGCTAAATAATGTAATCAACACAGGCTGGGTACCATTCTGAATCTAAGCGTTTTAAACTTTTTGACTGGCATTTTGACTTTGTAATGCACTTTAAGTGGCAGAAATATTACTCATTACCATGTTAATAATACTAAAACTTAAGTCCCCAGAGAGGGGCTCAGATCGCAGCAACGAAATGAGGGGACTGCTCTGTCCTCTCCCAGCAGGGCATTATCTATTATTAGGATCCTGAGCCTGGGCCGTGGAGCAGTCTTGGAAAGTCAACTCCTATGTCTCCTTGAGACATAGGTACTCTGGTCTAGTACTCTCTGGAACATCCAGCAGGCTACACTGTACATCATCAGTGCTATGTGAACATCTGTAAACTGACCAGTGTCAAAATGGGAATAATTATAGGTTCTCCACACAAATTTGCTTATAAATAAACACAACATACACATTGTTAATGTGTAAAATGTTAAATGTGTAAAAGTAGCAAGAGCACACCATGTGCCACAGCTGAACATTAATACAGGTTACATAAGATGGGGTTTTAGTTTGAGTTTTAAGGGTATTTAGGGGAAAATGAGGAACATTAAAAATAATTATCTTACCATACAGGTATTTCCCTTCATTAAAAGCAAGTAAAAATGAGAAATGACTTTAAACAATGTAAACAACATATGGTGAGAACAGACAGTAAAAAATAAAATTTGATGCCATTAGACTTTAAAAATTCATACCTGTTATTGTGAAGCCACCTAAAAAAGAAAAAAAAAAAAACACAAATGTTACAATTTATTTAACTTACACTCTAAATAACAAATACCAGTGACATTAGACTGCCTGATAGCCCATCCAAGGTACAAAAACTTGCCAAATTATGTTTACAACTAAGGAAAATATGAAAACATCTGTTCATGATTTACTCACGAATCATTCTTTTAAGATTATGGGAATTAGTGCACGAATTTAATTCTTGTGCATACCTAAGAAATCACTGATTTTTTAAAAGGTTACATTAAACTGAAAATGGAATAGAAACTCTCTAACCTTAATAAAATGAGGCCAATGGCCCTAAACAACAATCTTGCTAGTAAATCAATAGAACTAAAAGTCAGAAAGCTACTGTATCACCTGATAGAAATGGAAAATAACCTAGAGAGATGGAAAGGAAATGCAAGAAATGAAATGCTTACCAAGCTCATTCAATAACAGGGCTGTGAAGGAAACAGACAAAGACAAACACAGAATAAGAGACCAGATGAATAATGAAAGTAAGAGGAATATCAGCAGAAAGAAATCCAGGCAGATCTGATTACAGTGGCAGGGAGCCACTGCTAAGAAGTTGGTGCACCCTAAGGACATGTGGCATTGGGAATATTTCCAAATGAACAGTCCCAACACTTAATTTCTGCAAATGTATGTGATTGATTATAGGTATATATATACACATACACACAATTCACTTTATATATTATTTTTGACAGTTAATAAGACATTTCTACTATATATGTGTACGCACAAGTGTATATATCTAGTTTACCAAATATAGTAGAAACATTTTATGAAGTTAATCGTGAACTCTATTTGAGTGAGTCTTCCTCATTAAATATTGCCTGGGAGTTAGGTTAATTCAACATATGGAAGTCTTAAATCATTCAGTATCTCAGATATTGTCCCTTTTTATTCAATGAAAACAGATTAAACATCTTAGGAAATTCCATTTTGGCTGCCTTGCCTGGAAGGACACTTTGGTCCACAGTAAAGTGCTCTTTCTGGAGGTTCTATTTGATGATATTTTGGCCATCAAGAAATGCTTATGTTTAAATCTTTAAAACTTGAGTTCCAGGAATTAGCGCTTCTTTGTGTGTCCTTATCTAAGACCTCTGCACATTATAATTGGACAGCCAGAATCCTTCTTGTGGACAGGTAATTCCATGGAAACTGACAAGGTGGGGGCAGGGAGGGGTAGGCATACATAATTTGTCTTTCAGTTTATGTGCTTTAAACCTAGACTAAGCTGTGGCACTTGATTTTGGTGAAAACTACGTGGCTAAATGTATTAAATAAATTTCTTCCAGAGCTGTAGATGGGAATGTCACAATGACTTTTTCAGGCCCAGTTTTCCCTCTAATGGTAGTGGCATTACAGGACACTTTCTAAAACAAGTCAGTAATTTTATTTATAGTGACAAGAATCCACTTGGCAGGTGCGAAACCGGATAGTGCTATCAAGGAATTTTAATTTGCTTTTACATGAGGGCATATTCTACTGAAATGACAATTGAAAGAGCTGTATCCAAGATGCTCTTCCTTTAGATAAAAGACAGTTCTTTGGAAGAATACATTTAGAAGTACTTTTTCCTGTATATTAATGAGGTATTTTTGATCCTATCTTTGTAAGAAATCAGTACGATTTTCTAGTATCTTTTCCTTCCACCTACTGCCTATGGAGCATATTAAACAAGCTGCATTAACACGGGTCCCCAGTGCTCCTTTCTCCATCATTCCAAAGTCTCCTTTTACCATTTTGAACATGATTAAATCAGGGACATATACTTTTTTTTTTTTCTCTGATAGACTCTGAGGCCAGTGAGTTCTTACAAATGTGGGATTAAATTCCCCCAAATGTTGGGTCTGTATAGGAATTAGTCCTATATATTTGATTTTTTCCTTATGTGTAAAAGTACAAATTTCTTGCAAAGTGGTCCATCTAATCATCTCCTATACTGCTCTCATCAATTGTTTATACGCAATTAATAAGAGCTATTTATATGGAGTATGCTCATTTTACATATGTAATTAAATGGATAGGATTCCTTTTAAAATGGCTACTATTAGAAGATAATTATAGGAAGCCCTCGTAATAATTCAGAATAAAAAATTATCTTTCAAGCTGATATAAAATTCCTGCCATTCCTTATTAAATATAGGCCACATAAAATAGATATAAAATTAAAGAAGGCAAAGAAATTGCTTCTTTGTTCAAATATTTTCTAAAAATGTAAGTACACATCAACCAAAAAAACTACCTACAAAGATACTGTTGTTAATTTTTTTTTTTTTTACTATACATGTTAGAAATTTGTGAATTCCAGAAGGATCAAAAGATTTTGGAGCATAAGGTTGGATAGGTCTTAAGTGAGGGCTGAATTCTTACTGAAGGACCATATCCTTTCTACTAAAGAAAATTGATATGACTATGGTTTCATACATATGGTCACTTTTAAATGTCATATTTGATGATATGAAAAATATTATGCCAAAATGAACACCAGACTATTGATAACACTACTCTTTAAGGATCTTTGTTCTTATTAATTTTATTTTTTTTAAACTGGATTCTCTAAAGAAGCCTAATTATTGAATTCTTCTGAAATTTCCTATCAGCTGCCATCAGACTCAACTACCATGACTCATATGTATTAAGTAGTCTTTATCACTAACATATTAGTTAGTGGAATGATCCCTAAGCAGTGAAAAACTAAACACATAAATCATTCTTTTACTTCATCACTTCTGAATTACAGAAATTTCTTCCAGTATTTATTAAATCTGGTTTCCATCAAGGTTAGTTGGCATTTCCTGAAGAAAATGGACATGGCTTGGTGCACTTGTGAATTAGGAAAGGGCAATGAAACTGCTAAAGCTCCAAAGGAAATGGAAGTAAAGTACTTGGAAACTGAGGAAGAGGAGAGGGTTAAGTGTGAGAGTAGGGAGACACGGAGAGAGAAGAGTACAATTTCTCGCTGGTATGTCTTTGTATACTCTCACACCTTTCATTCCTCTTCTTATCCATTTTGGTTCCTCAAGCACAAGGGAGAAACTGCACTCTTTCTCATATTCCTCACGGTCAAATATTCTAATGGTAATGATCTTCCTGTGGGAACACAAGACAAAGGCAAAACAAATGGTTGGAGTCACACGCTCATGCTAGGTGTTCACCAAGCTGAATGTTACTGTGATGTTATGGAAGGAGAACTGGAAACACATGGACCTCCCGAAGTATGTAAAAGGGCATCTCGGGCACTCTCAGCTGCCCCCTTTAAGTTTTCTTTGCTAATTTATCACTAGCACAAATTCTTCCTGCTTCAATTAGCAGTCAGGAGGTACCCCAAATTAGGAAGAGAAATCAGAAAGTTGGCTTCATTTTGGTTTAGCAAGCATCAGCACCAACTTTCCAGAAATGGAGGCTTGATAGAGAGCACTGAAAATTAGTATCTCAGACCTGTAATGTGCAGAGTGGCCAAAACTGGCTTATGGAGCTCCAGACTGGGCCCGCTGTGACCCTGGGTGAGATTTATGCCCTGTTACATAGGTGGAGGGATGTGCGTGTTATAAGTCATGTTCTGAAGAGTGCAGGCATCCAGGGGTGGCACAGGCCAGCAGAAGCTGTTGGGCTCAGCCCTGGAGCAGCTCCCCCACCTTTCTTCTCACTCATCTCCACCAGGCAGGGCTCTCCAATCTCAAGGAAGAAGGTCTTGTTTTTCTCATACTCCTCATCATCAATTACCTTGACTGATATTGTTTTGCTGCAACAGAGAAGAATAGAAATTGACGAACAAGGGGAAGCGGAAAGAAAAGGGAAGGATCATAGAGAAGAGGAAAGCAAGGTTAATGAGCTGCACTTCCAGACAAACGGCAACTGAGAAACTTCTGTACTGGGAGCATGTTCTTCCAGAATGGGTGGGGGATAGGTCTGAAAGATTGGAGAGGTTATGCGATGCATAGCTCCCCTTCCCAGAGCCACAGAATTATTTTGGGCAAAATACAGCACTCAGTGCTAATAGGTTTATCATCACCATGAGAAGGAAGAGCAGAGAAACACAGGTCACAATAATAAGAAAAGAAAAACATATTTATTTAGTAAATGCCTTAACTGTAGGATTGTCTGAGCTGTGCCTTGGAATTCATTCTTTTAGAACAAATCAGTAAATCACATCAAAATATTAACAGAGGTTATCTCTGATTAATAGGTTTGCGGGTCATTTTTTTTTTGCCTTCATTCGACTTTACTGTATTTCCAAACATCATATTGTTATCATAAAATTTTATTAAAATAATAAATGTATAAGAGAATCACAAAATAAAAGTCTTTTCTTACCCCAACCAATGCTCTAGAATCAAACTCTTATTAAGTTGAGTCAGATTTTCCACCTAGACCACAAGGGGAAGTCTTTCTAAAGATGGAAGCTGAAGCCTTCCAACAGCTGTTTTGCAAGGTGGGGAGTGGGGAGTCATGATGTTATAGTCATTTTCTTCCCTCCCAAAGTTGAGTTTCAACTTTGACAAAATACGTCGCTTACACTACTTTCAAACTCGACCGATACACCAACGCATTTCGCTAAGAATTCTCCCTGTAATCCATCCTTGGCACTTCCTGCCTTCTGGTCCTCTGGTTGTGAGTGACTGACAGGCAGGTAAGACAACGCAATATTATGCAAATCTCAACGGCCCAGAAGCCTTGATGACTCTGAAAATAAATCTAATATTACCTTCTAATGAATAAGAGCTTAATCACTTCATGTATTACAACTGACTCAGAGCCCCCTAAACACTTGTTTGTCCTTGAAAATATATTTCTTTTCAGTAACATCAGCCAGGAACATTTCCGACTAATGTGTTTGAAACAATGAGTTTATATAGACACATAGTTTTAATGTCATGGACATTATTTAGTTTTGGTGGAATCTTCTAGGTCTTCTGGAATGACATTAGTTTATAATCTGTTTTTTAAAAAAATTACCGATCAAATTCATCAAGTTTCATTTAGACCTATGCATGCCAAAAAACATCAGTTTTCTTTCATAGTATGAATGAGAATAAAGGTAGAAGTTGCTTTTAATTCTCCGAATTTTCCATCCTCTAATGCTAAATGCTTTAGTACTGCTTTCCTGGGTTAGCATTGTAGAAGTGAGATCAAATGATTGCTTCTGGTCCTTCGGAGCCCCACAAGCTACCCTCTGCTCCTCAGCTCAAGAACATCCTTGCGTGATGCTCACATCCCAATTTCCCATTACTAAGGAGTTGGAGCTAATGACAGTGCCTTTTATATCTCAGCTCTGTCCTCAAAGACTGAAATATTAAGGCTAGATGAGCAGCTGTAAATGACTAAAGCAATAATCATTTTTTTGAGTAGTTAGATATTTACAAAACTACCAACAGTGTGACAAAGTTCAACTACACGTATACAGTGAATAGTTGCTGTCTAACTTCCAGAACGACTTTCTGGAATTCACCTATTTACTTAGTATATAAAAAAAAGTCTGCCCCGAATAAACCAAAATATCTGATCATTCCTTAATATCCAAAAAATGCAAAATATTAGAGAAAGCACAAGAAGATACAAGAAATGATGACATGTGTGCTTTTTATTTCAGAACTGAATTTGATGTTATATGTGAGATTAAATTTACTCTACAAAAACCTGCCAAATGTCTATTCTCTTTGTCATCAAATTTAGGCATTTTAGGTATTAATTTCCATCTTACTGCCTTGTAATCATAAACTATAGTTGTACATCTCTACTAAAGCATTTGGCATCATAAGACCAAGTGTGGGAAAGTGTTGATGGGCATTAGAAGGGCCATGCTACCGTCTTCTGGACCTGATGGGTCAACATTCATTATCAAGGCACTTCATGGCAGGGTACATTCAAGTGGACATCATGTTGCAATGCTCTTGCTTATATTACTTAGAAACATTTGACTTTATCTTTCTCCATCTTGCACTCCCAACCCATCCTGCATCTTATAACAGATTTTATTAGATTGCAGAAACAGAGAAAGCACAGTGAAGATGACTGGAGTAGCCTTGCTAAGAGGGCGAAAGTTTATTTAGGAAAGGCTACCAGTTTCATTTCCAAAGGGCAACATGACCACTTATTCACAAATAAATAGAAACAATCAACATACTGGTTCTTATTCTTGGTGAATTTAATCCTCTATTGCTGTAACAGCTTAATTTTCTATACTCTGAGTAGCTGATGAGTGTGAGAAATATAGGCCACACACAAATCGTTTCCATAATAAAATAAGCACTTAAAATTTATCATTACAGTACCACTATTAACTAGGATCATAATCCTTAGAAAATGTTTCAGTCTTTAATAACTGTGACACTGGAAAATCAAAGATGAAAAGAAAGCAAACAGGAGGTGCCTGAAAAAGACACCTAAAATAGATGGGATTTGCATAATGTCATATTATTTCAAAATCAGTGATAATACAATCAATAGTGCCCCTGACAGGAGGTGCGGTTAAATCATATATTGATTTTGCTCCTCTTGCGTAGCACAGCTATTAATAGAAACCTTGGTTATTCAAAGACATTTCAGTCAATTTAAAGAGGCAGGATGAAGTTAATCCTTATGAATTAGCCCTCTGAATCAAGAGAGGCAAAAATCAGAAGGCGTTGGTAATGTTCACCTTTTGCTTCAGAACAGAACTATTTCTCCCCCTAGCAAAGGTAGCAAAGGTGAAATTAACCCATGTCATTTTTAAAGGAACATAACCTTGGGATGTCTTTTGCTTACTTTGCAGAGCCTAATGCACCAAAGAGATGGTCACCACTTCTTCCACCACTTCTTCTGTTACACGACACGGGGTTGATTTGGTGGAGACTTCAGTTCCACTAGCCTAATAATCAGGGGAAGCATACCTCTGTTCCCCCCAGTTCTGCAGTGGAAATAGAATCTCAAGGACTGAAGGGACCTTAAAGGTCCTCCAGTTTGCCCCTATTGCCACACCAATCCCATATTCACAGGGCTTTTGCACTGTCACGAGGACTCCCTCTCCCTGAGAACACAGATCCACGTTGGTGGTTCTTTTGTTCTATTTACCAGTGGGAAGCAGTCAGATAGCTGTTGTTATTTCTTTAAATTGATAGGCTAACCAAAACGAGACTGTCTAACAGTTGGGTAGACACAGCCCTTCATCCAACAACAACTCTTGCACTATTATTGCACCGACAAGGAACAAATAGAAAAACTGATGCCCTGCAATTTTCAACTACCATAATTATTATGAAGACAGTAAGGAGAACTTCTCACTTGATTTTTTCACATCTCCCTAAAGTTGGACAGTGTACTATAAAATTATGTTTTCTGGAAACGAGTAAAGTAGTTACAAATCTTATGATAACATTAAATAACTTTTCAATATGGCCAAAATTTTTATGGAAATACATTTTGGTTCCGTTTCTAGAAAATAAAAAGCATTTGGTTAAGAAAGATCAATTTATTTAGTGGAAAAATACAGGTCATTCCTTTCAATTTTTGCAGTGTCTTTCCTTTGATGATACTAAACCAACATCTATACTTCTCAGTATTTCTCATCTGATGGGTCTCAAAGGACCCGAACACATTCTAATAACAAGGAGTTTTTATATCAGGTGGTGACTCAGGCAGGCAATGAGGAAGGAAAGAGGTGGCTTTAATAGTGGGAGCTAAAAAAGAAAATCTCTTCAAAATATATTCTAGTCTCTCATCAGTAAGCCAAAGTAGTATCACAGTCCCTTTTTTCAATTTCAGTCTCAGTGTGTCCTTTTGTGGTTTCTTCCCCCTAAGACTGCCCTTGATGTTGGGAGAAGTGAGAAATAGACAAGTTGGAGGATTAAGAGAAGAGACTCTCGGGGCCAGCCCCGTGGCTTAGCGGTTAAGTGCGTGTGCCCCGCTACTGGCGGCCCGGGGTTCGGATCCCGGGTGCGCACCCACGCACCGCTTCTCTGGCCATGCTGAGGCTGCGTCCCACATACAGCAACTAGAAGGATGTGCAACTATGACATACAACTATCTACTGGGGCTTTGGGGAAAAAAAGGAGGAGGATTGACAATAGATGTTAGCTCAGAGGCGGTCTTCCTCAGCAAAAAGAGGAGGATTAGCATGGATGTTAGCTCAGGGCTGATCTTCCTCACAAAAAAAAAAAAAAAAGAGGGAAGAGACTCTCCTTTCTAAATCCTCGCTCAGAAGATTTTGGTGAGGATTTCACATATTTATATACTGCAATGGCTTTTAAAATTTATTTTATTTTATTTTATTTTAAAGATTTTTCCTCTCTTTAGGCATACTCAGAGGTCAATGGACTGATGGGCACTTTGCATTTCTGAATTCTTAAATTCTTAAAGCTTCACAACAGCCCTAGAAGTAACTTCTACGACTCAGAATTTAAAGAGGAGACAATGACTCAGAGAAGTCAAGTAACTTCCAAGGTCGCAAAGTGAGACTCTTGTGACTGGCTCCAAAGACCAGTATCTTTCAATTATGTGACCCACAAGTTCCCTTATTCATTCAACTGTGCCGTAGTTTTATGACCACTTTAAAGCATCCGGATCATTATTTTAAATTAATATAGAGGTTTACCGTTTTATCTTTTATGTTCACAAAGACAGCCTATATGAGCAACGATAGAATTTCAATTCTATTTTTAAAAGGAATGCAGCACATACTATATTCGATGATGGCTATCTTATACAGTCAAATCCTTGAGGAGATAAAGCTCATTTAGGATTAACTGAAAAGTGCCATGAACATGT